AGAGATGTACTAAGAGATTGAGGTTTTTCTAATTAAATGTAACCAATTTTCATGGCTATTATTGATGAAATATCCTTTGATTTATAGACATTGACACATATTTTCTAGTAATTATTTTAACCCTAGGATGCATGCTCCCGGAAAACTACATGAATGCTTATGCAGGTCTCTCGAGGCGCTGCGCAATATGCTCTCGAAAAATGCACATACTTTGTTTAAATTCTTATTAACTTCATTTCCTTATATTGTCAATAAAAGTCAACTCTCAATGAAGAAGAAATTATAATTTACATAAATAACTATTAATGGGCCTTAATATGCATTGACGTAATATAATAAAATTTCAGAACCTATCTATAAAACGTTAGAGAATTTTTCCTTTGCCAGAAACTTTAAAGAAAGTACAAAGATGGAAGAAATATTACACGGAGGACAAGCAAGGATAAATCTTGGCGAATAAACAGGGTAGTGGTTAGGTTGAATAAATAAATTAAATTTCATTCGCTCCTTCATTCAGGGTAGTTCCCTGAGACAGCCGTGTAGGTGGGTGGCGGATCTTGCCATCCCGCGCGGAAAGTTCACCGCCCCATCTTACGATAGAACGTACCTTCCAATTACGGGACTTATGCCCTGAGGAGTTGCTGAGCACCGACACTTATCATATTTTTTTCTTCCTGGAACTTTTTACATCTTCAGGGGATGCCGATTTCGACTGTCTGCGCCGGGTACCCACTACGTTCCTCACCTGTTAACCTTTCCACAAGTCACACACGCGGGCTTCTCGGTCTGCAGTCAGCAGACTCACAAGGCCTTCCACGACAACACACATACTACATGAAAGACAAGGGACAAACAGCAATGCCCTCGGCGGGACTCGAACCGGAGGGACTCGAACCCACGACCGACACGCTGAGTCGGCACGCGCTTTAGTACCCTCGACCAACCAGCTCAGATGGAATCAATGGCTTTTTAAAACATTAATAAACATTTTCTATATAATAAGTGTGTGCTTGTCCATAGATCAAAGGATACTTGAATGGTCTAGTTTCAAAACGCGACTCTCCTTCCTTTGGTCAAAAATAAGATATTAGTTTCAATAGGGGTGAGTTGCAGTTATGCGACGTTCTATAAAATTATTTGTAACAAATGCGGTTTTTTGTTCACCCAGAGGGCTTGTTAATAATGCGTTAATAACAGATCGCAATCTTTCCATAATATTCATTTTGTTGCAAAGTACTATATTTTCAATCCAGCAATCAGAGATCCTTATGCCATTACGATTTGGCGCCGAATTATATCAAAATAAAAATTTATCTATAGAAAGCTAACTGGCCTAAACATTGACCAAGCTGATACTGAGAATAATGAGTATTGTAAAAGCGAACAGTTAGAGTTCGATCTTCATATTTGATAAAAATACCACATTAAATAGAGAAATCAAAAGAAAATAATACTGTTGTAATTATATTTGATTTGAAAGTTATAATTTTTCACCCCATAATCAAAAAACATGATTTCAATGAAATTTCAAATTTTTAGCTCAACTCTCTTTATATTGACTAGATATTCTTGAATTATAATATTGTTTTTACTTTCACTAGCACATTTAGCAGCAGCATGTTTTAAACAAATGATATGTCATTTCCTTTTTTTCCGAAAACAGAGTAGAACGGAATAGTCTCATTTTGAAACCAGACTCCTCACTTGTATGGCTGAGTTGCAAAGCAGTCCGCACGTGCGCGCAGTGGAGCGGTGCGGGCGGCGCGGGCGGCGCGGGCGGCGCGGGCGGCGCGGGCGGCGGGGCGGGGCGCGCGAGCGATGGAGCGGCGGCCGAGCGCGTGACCTGCAGTCGCCCATTGGGTGCGTCGGGCGGTCCCATCTCGAGCCGCGCCGACGCCCGACATGTACCGAGAACGCGGCGGGGCGCGGCCCGCGCCGTGCGTGACGAACGGGCGAGCTGTCGCCGCAAGCTGGCGTCGCGCGCGCGTCCTTGCGCACGTGGCGCCAATTTCCATGGCCCGCCCGGGCCTGCCCCCGCCCCCGCTGCCGGCGCCCGCGCCGCAGGTGGGGCCTCGCCCGCGCTCGGGTCCCATCTACACACACACACTTAAAAAAAGGTTGACAAACCCAAAGACTTGACACATTTCTCTTTGTATGTCAACGCGCTGAATCCGAAAGTGGTTTTGAATCCGGAAAAAAGACCTGAAATTGTATTTTTTTTTGTTTTCGCGGGTTTGTTATCAGACGAAAGACTTACCACATGTTTCTCTATATACGTTAACGTGCTAAATCCGACTCTGAAGACAGAATTGCGCCATCACCCTCCAGCTTTTTAATTCAGGAAAAGAATCTGAAATAATATTTTCTTTGTTTCCGTGGGTATGTTATCAGCATTAAATATTAGATGTGTGACAGTAGCATTAAATATCACAGCTTCTAAAAAGACGGGAAATTAATTGGCCTCATTATCTGCGACGGAAAATATACCACAGAAACTTTCTGGGAAATTTCCTCTGCTTTAATTTTGTAGAGAATATATAAATTTCGGTGGGGTTGATAGTCATGGAAATACATGCACAAAATAGTCGAAAAAGCACCTTCAAATGGCGACCCTCCCGGCTCCCCCCACACACTTCAGTATTTTTAGCATTATTATGTAGTAGGTACAACAATCATACCCAGTTTCAAAACTCCGGAATATTTTTCCTTTAATGGTCATTTGTTGTCTAATTTGACTGGGCTATTATGGCGAAAATACGCAGCGCGTGGCCGCCAACACCCACATGTTGGGCGCCATTGTAACCAGGTGGGCGCCGCGTCGTTCCGCGCACAGCAACCGATGGCGCAGGACGTTGAGACGGGGCCGGGCCGCGGGCGCGCGTGGGGAGCTCATTGTAAATACAGTAGATCCCCGAGGTTTTAACATCGATGTTTTTTGATATACTTTTTTAATTTGAAATCAATCAATGAAAAACATTGATAGTTTGTAGTTCATGTAATATTGCCATCCATGTTTTAATTTTGAACATCGATGTTTTGTTCTGAATGTCACATCACTAAGTTGTACCCCTTTACTTTAATAAATCCCCGTCTCTCCAGAGCTGTCTGGAGTTTTTAATTAGTCTTTTTATGACCGGCATTGACTCAGCTACATCCGCTTAACGATCCGCACCCGTTTTCTTGAACAGGGCAAGCGGAGAGGGAAAAGTTGAAAGGAGAAGTTGTTGGTCGCAGGAGGCGAAGTCGGCGGCGGGCGGCCGGCGTCGCTCGGTGGCGGGCGGCGCGTTGCCGCCGCCCTCGCCGCCCTCGGCGGCCTCCTCGCTGTCGCTGGCCTCCATGCCCCGCCGCCCGCGCCGCGCCTCCGACGAGTCCGACCGCGCGCCCGAGGCGCTGCCCCTCAAGCGCAGGAAGGTGAGGGCTCATTTGCACGTTGCCCGTTGAGGTCGCCAGAAACTAGCGCGTGGAGACTGGCAATGTGTAACCTTGTTGCAAGCGCCTTGTCACAATTGACCGGCGAGACCGCGGCAGTCATACGTCTGTGTCCGTCAGTCCCCAGAACTTATATTCCCCGAACGATGCAAAAGGACTCGGGGACTTCCGACATTGAAATGGATATTTTGATTTTTGAAGGTACGTACTTTGCATGAGGCCAGAATCCTCTTTCATACTTTTCTTAAAAATAACTCCAACTATTTTAATTTAAATTTATTCTCGCATAGTGTAAAGAACTCAAGAGAAGGGTGCAGATGTCATTTTCGTTGAAATTCCTGATGTTTCGAAAATTGAAAACTTTTTCGGCGCTTTCCTACAACTACAGTATTGAAGATAAATATTGTTTCCTGAATAAAATCCCTTTTTAAAAGACCGGTTTTTCCACTAACTCTGCACCATACGCTTAAGCGACCTGTACGCTCTTCGAGGACAAAGTTTAACCAACAATTTGGGGCCAGTTATTGAGAAAAAATTAGACTTCACTTAAAGTACAATCAAAACCCATAATATCCGTTTGAAACTCCCAAATCCTGAAGTTCGTTCAGATCAATAGAGGAATGTAAATTTTGGAGAAAGTCAACTGAAAGTTCGAGGCTAGACGTTGTCGTCGACCACAGACGGATTGACAGACGTTTTGGCGACAATCGATTTTTCCGTATGAAGAAAAATATGGATTCTGGCTACCATGTATTAGGATTTTTTTAAATATTTAGTAACTGGGTTTACTCCCGAGAATTGGCGGTTTTCCGACTCACCGCCATCGTAAGAGCCAGAAAGCTAAAAAAGGATTTTCTCAAGAACCGCTCCAAATTTTTTCTTAATTTTTTCCTCAGATAAAACAAGAAGGAAGGTACACGTCAGATTTTCTTTGAACTCTCTAAGTGTTTGAAAATTGCAAATTTAGAAATAATGCGAGACATTGTGCTGTTTATTTTAGGGATGAACAGGCGATTCGTGGCTGGCAAATAAGCCTCTCTATTGCTGAGCCCATCCCTCTAGTTGCCCACTCCTCAATTGCTGCAAACAAAATGAGTCTGAGACCTTTTGCAATGCACTCTACAGTTGCTTTGAAGGTTTTTGCAGATGTCACACTAGTGAGATTTGTACAATATCATATACAATATTTTATTTATTTTGCCGCTCCATGAAGATAGTTACCATATTCACAGAAACATCAGTACACATGTACCGCAAGAAGCTGTATTTAATTGGCTGTCCGGCGTTACGCACTGAGGAAGATCGCACAATGGCGACCGAAACTTTGTCATGGACGCGGCGTCACCCGAACAGCCAATTAAATACTGACACCGGCCGCGGAAACCTACACTCTCGCAAGAAGCTGATTAATTTTTTTTTTCTATTTGTCACAGCCACGCTTCATAGCCGCAGTCCCATGGTTCACTATACTGTACTTGGAATCGTGTGCGCCCCACGAAACGTCAAGTTTGTTCACATGCCCGTGTGCTTGTGTGTTGGCGCGACAGTCCATCTCGCCCGCGGACGCGCCGATGACGACGCCGCAGCTGCGCCCCATCACGCGCCCGTCCATCCAGCTGACGGAGCCGCCGCTGGGGTCGTCGCTGTCGCTGTCGATGCCGGGCCGGTCGCGGCGCGAGTCCGTGCCCAGCGCCATCTTCGCGCAGGCGGGCATGATGCCCCAGCCGCCCTTCACGTCGCGCGTCTCCTCCAACAACCCGTTCATGCCGCGCGTGTCCATGGGCACCATGTACACGCCGCAGCACATGCGGCTGGCCGGGCAGGCGCTGCCCGCGCCGCCGCCGGCCGTTCGCCCCGGCTCGCGCGCCTCGCTGCGCCGCCGCTCGCTCGGCCCCCCGCAGGTGCGCCGCCCACACGACTATTATGACTGCCACGCCTACTATGACTACAACTACTAATACGACATGTAGGTATTGGGGGGAGTTTTCGTTGGAATGTCCGGTTTGTTTGCTACTATCGTGCGATCCGTTTGAATTTCTTGGTCGTATAACATTGTATAGTCCAACAGATGTCACCGGTTTTGGTGACACTTGGGGCATGTGTTAGGAACTTCGAGGGCGGTACAGATCTGCCAGTGGAGGTAACTGCACACCCTGTCGCGTCTTTGCAAGTATTCGGTTTCTGCTAGAGTTAGACAAGCTGAAACGATGTGATCAACTTGTTCCTGGCAGATGCGGCATTTATTACCTTAGGAAATTTTGAGAATTGCTTATCATAATGTCGTGTTATCAACGCCTGATCCTGAGCAGCTATGAGAACTGCTTGCGATTCTGGCTTCATTCTTGCTCTTTTAAGCCTCATAAATAATTGATCTTTATTGACCTGCACCTTTTCCATTCTTTGTAGATATTGTGCACGGAGTGGTGTGTCTCTCCACGATTTCTTTAACATTTTTGTCTCACATTTCATGTTTAGTGCCATCAGAAGTTCAATGCCTGTGTTATTCTGTGTGTCTTGCATAGTTTTCTTTGCTATGCTTATTTCTACACTAACAATCCTCTGTTCCCCACTCTTAGGTCAGATTTCATGACCTGCCTCATTCGAGGGTCATCTTGATGGCTGATCACGTACTTTCCCATTCCGGCTATTACATGGTGCCAGGAGGCATCAATTTGTCTGAGACCTCATCCTCCTCCCTTACGCGACACAAAGTCTATGTACATCAGGTCGAGGGTGGACGACATGATGCATTGATACCAGTTTTCTGGTTTTTCGATCAATGATTCGAATTTATTGCTCAGTCCAGACCACGAGACCAAAACTGTACTCGTCTACAGGCACCGCTAAACTATTAATTGCCGATACTTTATTCCTGGAGTTCTGGTAGGACTGTACCGGTGAGACTCACTCTTCTATAATACTCCCTACGAATTATTTCATTGTGTCGTTGTGTCGAGATGGACTCATATTCTTCAATGCCTAGACATTTGTAAGTTTTACCTTTCTCAAGATCTTGAATCACAGTGTGCATATCAACTTTAATTCTCTCTGACGTCACTTTGCCTCTTTTTAAATAGATTTTTGCACACTTGTGAAGACCGAGCTAATGTCACTTTGTCGACTGGCTATCCCACGGATGTTAGTCCCAAGGACTCAGAGTCGGCAGTAGTCAGATGGCTTCCATCGTCAGAGATGGACACGGGATGAATTGAAGGAGGTGATATGGTGCTTTTACTATGCAAAAGCAAAAAATGGGGACTCGTAAATAGAAGCTTTCAAGGAATGGAGAGAACGGAGCATCATTCCTAGAGTGGGCACTACTCCACCGGGGGGCACAAGTCCCCGGGATGGGCACCTGAGCTTTGCGCTTTTATCCGCATCCCCCGCCGCCGGGAATGTATGACAACGGGCCGGAATCCGGTTTCGGCCGGTACCCAGTTTGCCCTCACGGCAACGTACCCAATCAATGTCTGGGTCAGACCATATTGCCAGCTCAGAGTTGCTAGCTATACAAGATAGAACTGGAGTCAATATTGTCGTATGACAACCCGCCACTCACATGCATCTGGACACTAAGTCGCTCCTCTTTACCCAGAGTATTGGGCTATTGCCTCGATGAATCCCAGAGTCCGACTGGTTCGAGCGACTCGGAGCCCTCATCCCGCCGACTCACTGCCTACACCGTTAGGCGAACTACGTGAGTAACGCCGACGGAACAGGGCTCCCCACTCATACAGCAGGAGCACACTCGTCGCCGGCTACGCTCAGCCAAAATACACAGTGTGGGAAGGTCAGCGGGCATGTCACGGGTGAACCAAACCAGGACCGAGACAACGGGACTAGCGAACCAACGTGAAATCAGCAGGCGCCAGTACCATTTTCTCCTCGAAAGAGATGAGTATCACTGTTCGCAGACGTGCCAACTAGACCCATTAAAGCTGCCCGAACACTGAACACTGAAGTGTACAACGAAATTCGAAGGAGTGTTGATACCTATCACCAACCACACTACAACCCTGGCCAGGAACAAGAACTTTATCGCGTGGGTGTGGTAAAAATCACCTGCGCGAAGCTCCTTGAGCCAGGACCGGCAGCCGAAAACTCGCTTGGACGGACTGGCAATTTGAAATAGACTCTAACAGAATTTCAATTATACATTAATAAAACTATGGTATACGTTCACCGGGTCATCACTTCAAATGTTTACGCATATGCTTTTTCAATGCGGACCGTCAATGCTTTATCACATCATTCACCATGAAGTATATTGTTACGTTTGTCGCGTCAGTCATATGACCGTAACTATATCTTGTCATCCGCAAACCTGGCGAACCCACCATTAAATATCTGTATTTAAATAAGTTTATACATTTTATTTAAGTGTTAAATATTACTTAATAACTGTGAATAGCTTCTAAATGTTACTTTGTATCGATGCCAATGAGCGGCGGTAGTAGTATAATAAAACTAATAGGACATATTTAAAAATACTATTAATTATTTCAAACTTACTAGATACAATTATCTCTTAATCTATGAGTCTAAGCACACATTACTCTGCAATCTGTTTTTTGTAATTACAACGTTCCTGACCAGATTCAGACCGAAATACAGTTATAAGGTATTACATGCCTATAAAAAGTATCTATAACAAACTACGCTCCTTTACCATTGGTTGTATAACTGTTCAAATACAATGACAGACTGGAAGTTTAGGGTTGAACACATGGTAATATGAATCCCAATGTATGTGTGCATCAAACCCATCAATGTACTCAGCGATATATTTTTTGTCTGCAACTCAAAATTGGGGTTAACAGGCGTGTAAGGCAGAGGTACTTAAACGCGCGGCCTGGTATCCGTTGCCCGTACTAAACGAA